TGAGTGGATTGCTGGGACTTTCATCATTCCGAAGAAGGACGGTAGAGTCAGGTGATCTCTGACTTCCGTGGTCTCAACAAGGCAATCAAACGCAAGGTTTACCCAATTCCTCGCATTGCGGATATCTTAGCTCGACGCAAGAACTATGCATTCCTTACCAAATTGGATATCTCGATGCAGTATTACACGTTTGAACTTGACGATTTCAGTTCCGAATTGTGTACCATTGCTACCCCGTTTGGGTTGTACAAGTACAGACGACTACCTATGGGCGTTTCTCAATCTCCGGATATTGCTCAAGAAATCATGGAAAAGTTACTCAAAGCTCTTGACGACATCGAAGTTTACATCGATGACATTGGGATCTTCAGCTCCGATTGGCGTTCTCATCTCGACAAGCTCGATCAAGTCCTCAAGATTCTACAAGAAGCGGATTCACAATCAATCGTTGAAATGTGAATGGGCCGTGCAAGAAACCGATTTTCTGGGACATTGGTTGACTCCTGTCGGTGTTAAGCCTATGGCAAAGAAAGTGCGCGCCATCCTGGACATGAAGGCTCCTACGGATATCAAACAACTGCGTTCGTTTCTTGGTTTGGTGACCTATTACCGTGATATGTGGCCTCGTCGTTCTCACACCTTGGCACCTTTGACAAAGCTGATTGGTACCAAGAAGTTTGAGTGGACCGACGAACAAGAACAAGCTTTCAAAGCCATAAAGCTGTGGCGGCAGCAGACACTCTGCTGGCATATCCGGATCACAACGTTCCTTTCGAGATCGATACGACGCTAGTGATTACCAGCTCGGTGGAGCTATCAAACAAAATGGACAGATTGTGGCTTACTACTCCCGCAAACTCAACTCCGCCCAAAAGAACTATACTACAATTGAAAAGTAACTGCTCTCCATTGTTGAAATCTTCAAAGAGTTTCGGTCTATGTTACTCGGAGCTCATATCAATGTGTTTACTGATCATAAAAACCTTACTCACAAACTTTCCGCTTTTCAAACTCAGCGTGTTATGCGATGGCGATTGCTATTGGAAGAGTTTGGTCCAAACTTTCATTACAAGCCGGGCCCCCAGAACGTCCTTGGCGACGCCCTCAGCCGGGTGCCCACTTCTCGCGAAGATCGTGACACTGCCGATTCCGATCCCCTCTCCACATCTACCGATGGCTGCTATTCCATTGTGGAGGAGAATCAGAGGTTGGCTGAATGTTTGATGCATCATCCAGACGATGGTATGGAAGAATCTTTCCTGGAGCATCCTACATTCGACGGCGAAGGAAGGAATCCCTTCAATTTCTCGGTTCTCGCCGAGTACCAAGCAAACAGTGCAGTTTTGCAACAGACCGTGGTTGACAACCCGGAACGGTTTTTCAAAAAGATGTTTGAAACAGTGAGCTGATATGCTTTCGTCAGAATGACGAGGACAAGATTGTCCTAACAAAAGAGTTGCTTCCCAAGTTGGTCAGCTTCTATCACAAATCCATGGCACATGTCGAAGGCATGGATCGTTTAGAACAAACGATCAAGACACACTTCTACCATAGAGGTATTCGCGACGAAGTCCGAAAACAAATTGAGCAGTGCGAAGCATGTGCAAAGAACAAACGAGACGACGTGCTTATGGAGAAACTGCTCCACGTGATGCTAAGGCGATGCCCTGGCAAGAAATCCATTGTGACACAATCGGTCCGTGGACGATTGAGTTACGACAACGGACATTGACTTTCATGCTATGACTATGGTGGATCTCTTGCACAAACTTGTAGAAATTGTGCCTATTATGCGACGAACGTCGGAAGAAGGTGCTCGAGTGGTCGAAGATACATGGTTTGCTCGGTATCCCCGACCTAAGAAAGTGGTCACGGACAATGGTCCTGAGTTCAAACTGGAGTTCATTGGATGGTTAAAAAGAATGGTGCTGTGCATCGCTACTCGACCCCTCGTAATCCACAAGTAACTCGATGATTGAACGAACTCATCAGGCAATTGTCAAGTATTGCGTACTATTGTGGTTTCGCGCGATCCCAAGAGTGTTGCTGATGGGATCAAGGTTATTTCCGAAACCTTGGCGACAGCGATGCATGCTCATCGTTGTTCCGTGCAGAGTACGAACGCGTATCTCACTCCTGGTGCTCTTTCCTTCAAACGAGATATGTTTCTTGACATTCCTATTTATGCAGACATCCTGGCCGTGCAAAGACACCGTCAATCCTTGGTTGACAAACGTTGCTACGGGCCAATGCTAAACGCATTTCCTATGACTACGCGGTCGATGACCTGTCTACAAGCGTGCGTATCTCGGTCTCAGTATAAGTTGAAGCCTACGGCTTCTGGTCCCTACGTGTTTCCCGCGTTCATACCAACGGCAACTAACGATTCAACTCAGTGCTCATCAGTTTGAGCGCCTGAACATTCGGCGCGTGTTTCCAAAGCATCCAGTACCTCCGGTTGCCACCGGTACGGGTTATTGAGGTTCCCCTGATTCATTTTCTAAATGTTACTGATGCTCGGCGCCTATTGTTGCCTCCCAGTGGAGGAGAGTGACATACGCACGTCTATGACGTGGCGCTTTAACGCTAGTTTTAAGTCTAATCTCACAATATTCTGATCGTAGTTCAGTATCTCTGGTGGGCTTCGGTGGTAGCGGCATGCTATATCTTCTTGGCGTCCAGGTCGATAGCATGCTGCGATCTGTTGGACGAAGGCTATCACGGCACTACCTCTTGAGACAGCCTACATGTCCTTCAATCTTTAGATGTGCGGTTCGGTCCGCATCTTGGCGGAAAAATGTTCCGCCGGGAGTGGAGCTTGCAAAATCAATCTTGGAGAACTCGCCAGATTTGCTGAGATTCTTTCGATGACAAGAAGAAGGAAAAGGAACTAGTCGCAGGCATCTATGAAGCGTTGAGTTTGCAGCAACCACAGGAGCTGAAGGCACAGTACGACGAACGTGAGTCCTTCTTCGATCATGTTGCGAGCCTTGTCGTGGAGGAGACACGTCATGCCATCGTTGCAGCAATGGTGGAAACGCTTTCCGGCAAGGACCCACAAAAGACCAAACGAAGGAAGCAGACGACTGGCGTTTCGATTAGGGTGAACAGCATGGATGATGAATTTGCTGAAATTTGGACTTACGATCCTCTACCCAACAACAAGAGGAACAGCCTACGTTCTGGAACAGTAGTCGCTATGGTTCCAAGCAAGCGTTCCGATGATCCCACGGTCCGCTTGGGAGTTCTTCAGTTTGGCTCGAGGGGTTCCCAGGTTTGTAAGTTCTCCCAAAGCAGGAGTGTATTGTTGTACTTGTCTTTTCCTCACCTGAAGTTGCTTCGAGCTTAGTGCCTGATTCTATGCAAGACGATGCAGACCCAAAGAAAATCACACGGGACACGGGCGATGGCGCAAACCAAAACCAGATCAGACGGGGTGACAGGATGACATGCTTTCTCTATGGTGCTTGCAACGATGGCGATGATCTTGAAATGCAACCTCTTGTATCCATTCTAAACTATCAGCGTCAGTTCACTGCCTGTCGCCAGGGGGGAGACAGTTCTGACTTTGACGGAGCCTTATTCGGGCGGTTCAACCACGAGACGGAATGCAGTCCGCCTTCTGAAGACTTGAACGACACTGCCATCGTTGTGCCTTCGTTAAATCAATCTCAGCAGCTTGCTGCTGATGACTTCATCTTCGCTCGCGACAAGAGAATCATGATTGCTCAAGGGTAAGTCGCTGGTGTGTTTTCGAAGTTGTCATCGGCACCACTTACCACTTCCACGTTTGTTGCTCCTTGCTTCTTTGCGCTTTCATCAGCCCTCCTGGAACGGGTACGCAGCCCTCCTCATACATGTATTGAGGCAACCGTCGAGGCCCCTACTCACCTCTTGTACGTTGTTCACAGGAAAAACAACAATGCTGGTGGCCACTATCTGCCGATACATAATGCACTCCAAACAGTCCCTCTCAAAACGGAAGTTACTTGTCTGTGGACCAACGAACAAATCTGTTACCGTGTTGGCACGGAAGGTGTTGAAATGTATTCAACGTGACGAAACAATCCACGCAGCTCTGATTGGCGACAAGGAAGAGCTCCTGCAGGACGATCGGGAGGGGCTGGAGGATATTTTTGTGTATTCATACATGGACAAACGCAAGAAACGATGGAAGAGAATTTCCAATGCATTTGTTGGAACAAACGACTTCAGCAAATTTGAGCGGGACAGTGAGAACATGCTTCGAAGGTTGAGGCGGCAGATTCCCAACGTATCACTTTCAAGACTTGAAATGGCTCTTAGTGATGTAGGCGACACATTCGAGAATTGCATGGCTGAGGAGGACACGGATTTGAGAGAACAGTCATTGCGTTTTGTGGGAGACTCCCTACTAAGGGTCACCAGAAGTCTTCAAGCAATTGACGAGCAGGAAGTTCACCTTGGCCTGCTGAACAGCGCCGATGTGATCTTCTGCACTTTGTCTACATGCGGATCTAAGCCAATGCGACGGATGAACCGTGCCTCTGATCTCATCATTGATGAAGCAAGCGCTGCGACCGAGGCAGAGGTGCTGATCCCCCTTCACACGAAACCCGACAAGCTGTTCCTAGTAGGGGACCCAAAACAATTACCGGCCACAGTATTATCGCCCCTTGCTCAGAAGTGTGGCTTGGCACGGTCTCTCCAAGAGCGGTTGATGTTCAAAAACAAAATGAAGTATACACTGCTGGATGTGCAGTACAGGATGAGGCCCGAGATAAGCAAGTTTCCGGTTTGCCAGTTCTACGAGGCCAAGGTTCGGGATGGATCAAATGTCGTTGCGGAGACCTATGCATCCGACATTGTGGCTTTCGACGGTGACCCCTTGACATGGGTGCAGCTGGTCGGAGAAGAAACGAAGGACGGCAACATGTCAACACTCAATGAATCTGAAGCTCGCGCTGTTGTGGCGACTTTGATCAAGCTGAAGGAGAAGAATCAGCTGCCAAACAGCTGGTTCTCGGCGGATCGTATCAGAATCATCACCTTCTACAAGGCTCAGGCCGAGTACATTTCCTCTCTGCTGAAGAAGTATCAGATTGACGTTCTGGTCTAGACAGTGGATTCAGCTCAAGGATGTGAAGCGGACATTGTGATTCTGTCATTCGTCCGAGGCACTTCAGGTTACACCGGCTTTCTAAAGGATGAGCGAAGATTGAATGTTGCGCTGACCAGAGCCAGGTTTCAACTTGTTTGCATTGGAAACTTGGATGCCATCGCTGGCCTTCCGCCGAAAGGTGGGAACCTTACCTTGATTGAAATGGCAAAAGATGCGCTCTTGAGAAGCAACCCTGTGCAGATTGATTGCGCCCTCCCACCTCCACCCAAACGAATCATTCGGGATGCTGCGGCCGCTTCAAAAGGAAACAAGACGGGTAAAGGCACTAAGGCAAAGAAGCAGAAAAAGAAAAGGAAGCGGAGAAAGAAGGAAAGTCTAACAGAGCAAAATAACTGATTAGCCCAGAGAAGCTTAAGATGAATTTATTAGCCCATCTTCGTTGTAGTTCGTGTGGCAATGGTCTGCGTAAGGCTTAGCTTACTTCTCACCACCAACGACTACCGGTACCCACCGGCGGTGTTCAACTTCCGGATATTGAGAGTAGAAAGACTCGGGGTTTTGAGTCGTTGGTCTGCTCCAAACAAACTCAAGTCTGCCGCGCGAGGGAGGGCCAACATTCTTGAGCATGCCCAGCGCTGTGCATACGCCTGGATCAAGTTGTGGATTGCTTTGTCGGGTCTAGACCACTTGGTTCCTTGGTGCATCGCCGCTCGGCACAATTCACTTTGCCGTGCTTCGCTTGTACACATCATGGCGTCAAAGCCGCTAGCTAGACATCGATGGGTCTACCAGTCTTGAGCCACGTATCAAATTGAGAGGAAAACTTGAGTCTTGGGATGGTCTCTTCCTTGAATGCCTTGTACTCTTCTTCCTCTGCGCCAAGGAAGTCACAAAACTTGGCATCGCTAGCCATCGCGAGAATGTGCAGCGGTGGTGCGTCGTTGTCGTCGTCCTCTTCAACTGGAAATTGGGTTTTGGACCTTTTGACCTTGATCTTGAGATAAAAGTGCCACCGGGGAAGCAACCGTTGAAAAAGAGAGCATGCAATGTATCGAGCCCGGATCAAAGGTGATGGGTTCTCCTTCTTGTCCCCGTCTTCCTCTGGATCACTAGGTTCCCAATTCCAGTCCGAGTCTAGCTTGATGTAACCAGTCTGATTGTAGAAATTCAACGTCGGTTGAATGTTTCCTTCGAGGCTCAGAGTGAGGATATTGGGGTACTCGCCCAAGAGTGCTGTCAGGGACGGCTTTGTCGTGGAAGCATCATGGGGTGCGTCGTGATTTGCGTTAATACCCCACACGTTGGCCAAGAAATCTACCTTGGGCTGGATATTTTCGTTCAAGCTCAAGGAGAAAATAGTGGGAGACCGAATGGCAATTCGACATGCCAATGAATCTTTTTGGCTTTGGCCCGCATTAGCATTCTGCTGCAGCTCGTCGTCGTCGTCCATGCGGTCAAAGTAGGCAATCTTTTCCTGAAGATTGGCTTGCGATAACGACAAGATTTGAGGATGTTTCAATATGCAGTCACGAAGGAGTGCATGTGAGTTGTCGTCGTCCCGAAACAACTCTTGTAGTAATTCCAAAGTGGGTTGTAGATTGTCGTGTAACGACAGACAAAAGAGTCCTGCCCTCGTCGTGGACGTCAATAACGATGCCACATCGGCATTGGTGAACCCGCACTGCTGCTGGAGGAATGCCACCTTGGGTTTCAAATTGGTTTCGACGGAAAGATGAAAGATGGTGGGATATGCCTGAATCAGTTTGCCCAGCATGGTCTTGCGTCGATGTTCGCTGATTATTGGATCTTCGTGTTCGGAAGCAGAGCTTGGATCATCATGATTCTGTTGATGTTGTTGCTGTTGTTGCTGTTGTTGCAGCAACAGATGATCCAAGTAGTGCAGGACCGATGTGATTTGTTCGACGGATGTTTGAAACAACCAGGGCGCCTTCTTCTTCAATGCCGTAATATCTCTGGGTTGTCTACCCAATCGTTGCGTCAATAGTTCTTCCATGGCCGCGACGGCATCATCGGGCGCATTGTGACCAACTCCCGTGGACAGTAAAATGCCTGGATTTCGTCGGACGGCCTGTGAATAATGATAATGATAGCAACACGATAACATACATAAATTGATGAGTGGACTCTTGCGTTAGTTAGTTAGTCAGTCAGTCAGCCAGACAATCAGACAATGGGGAAGAATGAACCGTACCTCGCAGAACAGTTCCGAGCCATATAGATTCTGTAGGAATTGTGCCGTGGGGATCAAATAATGGTCGACACTTTTCCGTAGAATGCGAGGATTGGATTGAATGACAGAACAAACCAAGTCGATATCATCCTTCAAAACTGAATGAAAAAAGAGGGGCAAGTGGTTCAGTTCCAACATTCCACGGTAACAAGGAGACCATGACATTTTAATGAATAGAAGTTGACATACCATCATTGAGGAAATGGAGTACTTTTCCCACTTGATCGTCCGTCAAATCTCGTTGATTGTAGAGATAGTTTTTGGTCTTGGACCATTGAGGTCCCAACCTAGGCTGGCCGTTGTAGTCCGACAGTACTTGGACAATGCTTCGGACTCGTTGATTCACATTATTTCGTTTCTTTGTAGCTACCAATAGTACTTGTGATTCTTCTTGTTCTTCTTCTCCTGATTGGTTGTCAATATTATCATCATTGCTGCTGACTTGTACTACTATTACACTTCTTTTGATAATTATTTGTGGAAGAAACAGTTGGGATGACGTGGGGATTTGTCGGAACAACGAATTACTAATGCTTGATGATTCCAAGAAAGCTAACACTACGGATATCGGGGAAACCGCTATCAACAAGACCAGGAGAATACCAGCGTGCAATGGTGAAGAGCATCGTGGAGAACCATTCATTCGATGCATTTTGTTGTTGCCCCTCTGCCTCCCATCTTCGAAGAAGTGAAAGTTACGTCGATCCGATGTCACCGTTGTGCGTCGGGTAGTCGGGTGTGCAAAAAACTCAGCTGATTCGTGATAGGGTTAAAGTTTCGGAACACGTAAGATCTTTTTGGATCTTTGGATCTTTTTTGGATCTTTGGATCTTTTCTACTCCCACTTCTGTACTTGGTCGGCTTCTCATCACAACACCCATTACAGCAGCTATCACAGCTAAGCTCTCTGCCAAAATACATCAATAGAAGCAACCGACCAAATCATATCAAATCAAACCATGAATGCTGTCCGCGGAATCCTTCGTGTCTCCACTACTAAGACTTGTAGCCAAAGCTTCACTACTACTACAAGCCTACTACGACAGAACCACCATGTTCGATTTCTGACTACCTCCTCCTCTGATAGTTTGGTCGACTGGCACGTGGACTCTGCCTCCAAAGTGGGCACCATCACACTGCAATCTCCCCAATCCTTCAATGCCTTGACGATGGAATTGGGTGCGGCCTTTCACTCTACCATTACACAAATTCGACACGATTTAACTACGGGTCGACAAAATGTCAATGCCATTGTCCTCCAAGGCGCTGGCGACAAGGCATTTTCCGCCGGCGGCAATGTCGCTTGGTTGCAATCGTTGCGTCACAATAGTATTCCCGAAAATGAAGCATTGATGTTGCAATTTTATCGCTCCTTTTTGAGTATTCGGCAATTGCCCGTTCCGGTGGTGGCGGCATTGCAAGGTCCCGCCATTGGCGCCGGATGTTGTTTGGCCATGGCGTGCGATTTGCGCGTGGCTGTGGCCGACACGAAACTATTGGGATTTACCTTTTCCAAATTGGGCATTCATTCCGGATTGGGTGGCACGCATCTCCTGCAACGACTTGTCGGTAGCTCGTCAAAGGCGAATGAATGGTTATTGACCGGAAAAGTCTTGACGGGACGGGAAGCTCATCAATGGGGATTGGTGAATCGCCTTGTGGACGATGTCCGGGACGTCAAACCGGCGGCAGTGGAATTGGCGCACGAAGTGGCCCGCCAAAATCCCATGGCCATTCGAACCATGATTGCAACGTTGCGGTATCAACAAGATCAAGGACTCGAAGAATCGATCCTCATGGAAGCCAAGGCACAAGCCATTTGCTACAGTCGCAACGATTGGGGTGAAGGAGTCCAAGCGGCCATTGAAAAACGAGACCCGGAATTTGATGATTATCATACTACACCAGCAACAACCGCCACCAACAAGTGAGTACGAACGATACCTCATGCGTTTCTTGTAGTTTAGGCGAAGGAAAAACAAGGATTGATTCGAACACGGATCCCAGCCAGCCACAGAGAGAAAACCCATCTAGCTAGAACACAAATAATACATGTAGATACCCTTGGATAGTATTAGACTATTAGCCTGGATACTTGTAGTATCTTTTGACAAAATGGGGGTATTAGTCTATGATCAAGCGGCAAATTGCTTTGTAGCTATTAAAATAGTAGATTGTAGGCTGGAGTTTGACTTGACCTCGTCGTGTGCCTTTTTTTGGCATCCATTGGAAGGCACCGCGAAACTCACATTTATTAGCAGCTCAAGCCGGCTTTGTGCCGATCTGGGCCAGCCCGTCCACAAAGAGCCAGAAAATTGGTAAGCCTCGCTTGTATGATACTGTACTCCTCTAAAGCCAGATCTTGCGCTCATAAGTGACTATTTCGTCAGTGTCTGCATGCGTGATTTGACTGTATTAAATAGACAAGCCTACAGCATCTCCTGGCGGAGATGCCTCTAAGTCTAAATCATGCGCTCCTAAGTCGAAATCCTGCGGTCTTAAGGTAGGATTCTGCGCCAGTAAACCCCCGTTTTCAAAATAGTGGTTGTCAGGCGTTGCAATCTGGGACCACAAAGTCCAGAACAGCGACGATCGAGATTCGATTCAGCAGCTCAAGCCGGCTTTGCATGAAAAAGCTTCTCACTGCGATGACAACCCTCGCGACAATTAATTATTGAGCCAAATGACGACGATGGCCGACAACAATCATACTAAGGCTTCCTCGTCCGATCCTCCTCCTTCATCATCATCATCATCCGACCATGATGATGAACCCTCCTTGCTTCGCTGTTGGGTTCCTCTTACGACTCGACTGTTGTCGGGTCCCACGGCGGATTCGTCCAGTTGGTATGTGATGGATCATGTCATGCCATTGCCGCAATTTGTAGAATCCTTGCGACGCGAATTACTGGAGGGAAATCTTCTCCAGGAAATGACGGCGGCTGTCACACACGGAGAACGACAAACGTTGGACGTCATGTCCTTGGTGATGCCACAACAACAATCCAATACTGATCTCATCATGCCTACGATGGTCCGAGGAGACAAGAGTACATTTGTCCGTCGTGCCATTCGACAGCAACCGAATTTTGCCACGGAATTTCCACATCTCCACAGTCTCATTCACTCTTTTGAAACCACGGCACGTCACTATTTGAGTGATTGTATGGAGTTGGATGGGAACCTGACGTCCGTTCAAATTGCCGAATTTCCAGGCGATCGAGTCAGTGGTTATCCACTGCATTGCGATCGCCGTGCCAATCAGTGTCGTCAGGAAGATACAACTACAACAACATCTACTAGCGAACGACTCTTGACCGGTGTCTATTACTTGACGCCCGAAGATTGGGATGTGAAACACGATGGAGGATGTTTGCGACTCTTTTTGGATGCTGGCGACACTGGCAGTTTTGTGGATGTGTGTCCCTATTCCAATCGCATGATTTGCTTTCGAGCCGATGGCGTGGAACATGAAGTCAGACCCAGTCTACGGCGTCCACGATTGGCACTCACCATTTGGTTGTATGGAACAATCAAAATAATCAAACAGCAACAGCAGCAGCAGCAACAAAAGAAGATGATGATCCCGTTGGAGAATGATGGGAAAGCCAGCAATGGGGAGACAAACGGAAAGAGTCACAGCAACCAACAACCATCCGCTGTGGGCCCACCACCTCTTGTTTTGTCAGACACAACCCACAATTTACATTCTTCTAAAACAATCTTTGTGTCCATTGCCGCCTATCGCGACTCGGAAACGGGTCCTACCATTCGACATTTGAAAGCCACGGCCACGCATCCTCAACGGGTCTTTGTCGGGTTGGTTCTACAAGTGGACACGCAACAAGACCAATCCATTCTCAATGATCTCAACAGCATGAAGAAGGACGACGATTGGTATTCATCACATGTCCGGTGTCTCCAACTCGAAGCACGAGATGCCACCGGACCGTGCTATGCCAGAGCACTGGCGCAATCCTTGTGGCGGGGAGAAGACTATGTCCTCCAGATTGATTCGCACATGCGCTTTCGCAAACATTGGGATTCCTATCTGATTCAGGAATTGGAGCAACTCATTCATCAAGACGAAAATAACGACAAGGTCCTCTTGACCGCCTATCCCGTAGGATATCACTTGCCCCATCAAATTCCCAACGAGACACGGGGGACCGTCTTGGTACCGTGGAAATTTGACGACCAGGGTCTGTTGCGACAACGCGGGCGTCTCTTTACATTGGCAGAAGTAACAAAACCCATTCGCTGTCGCCTCTATGCGGCGGGCTTTAATTTTGGACGATCCAGCGTGATTCAGGATTGCCCGTACGATCCACAGTTGCATCATTTGTTTTTTGGAGAAGAACTCAGCATGGCCGTGCGCCTCTATACGCATGGATATGATTTGTATGCACCTGTCCAAAGTGTGTGTTACCACTTGTGGAGTAGGGCACATCGGCCTACTGCTACAACGCAACGGACCACAACACCGTGGCAGCAAAAACGCAAGCAAGCATCACTGCAAGCGGTGCGGCAGCAATTGACGGATACAACATCATTGGACAGTCGCTACTTGGGATTGGGATCAGTGCGGACGGCGCAACAGTTCGCCACGGAATTGGGAGTCGACTTTGACGAGTGCAAAATTGTCGACCAGAATGCTCCGGGGTTCTTGCCAGAGGTGAAGTTCGTTGCAGACGATTCGACAGTTGTTTCGCCCGAGAGTTTTTTGCAGGGCAAGATTCTTCAAGGTTTGGACTCGAAAAGCAAAACACTGATTGCTTCCTTTTTGCAAGGAATGTCGCCACGAGGAACGCACGAGCAATAGGGGAATGCCATGAGGGGGGCTTAAATAGAGAGCTAGCTTCAATAAGGAATCCTAGTACAGGAGTACCATGGTATCAACGTATTAGCTGGCAAGCCAACAACAAGCCACCCTGAGCCGCCTCCTTCTCTCCTCCTGCAAGGATGGGTTCCTGCTGGCTTGTTGTGGCGTCTGCCACCGGAGCCAGCAGCGACAAATCGACCTGAAAAGATGTATCTGTTCATTTGTTTCGTTCTTTGCTTGTGCCGTCCTTCTGTGGCCGTGATTCCTCTTTGTGAGTCCGAACACGAGGGGGGGCACCAACAGCTATGAAGGAGACAAAGTGGGGAAAGACACGGACCCCACACGCTACAACACTCACGCTGGGCAACCAATGTATTTCTACGTAGCATTTGTGTATCTGTTTAGGATTTGATTTCGTGGTCAAGCGATAAGAGATCCTCGACATCTGTGCCCTCCGTTTCATCGTCGGAATCCAGACGGAATTGTGGATCCACAAAAAGGGATTGTCGGCGTCGCGGATGCAAAGAGCACGAGGATTTGCCAGCGTACGTCTTATCCAGCCAACAGCCCATGCGCCCGAGGCTCTTTAAGCGAATCTGGAACGAGCTCAGCCTGCTGCTCGTTCGCTGCAAACGACACCAAATCAGAAGGGAAGCTGTAAGCGAACGACAAATGGCAAACGAAGGGGTAACATTTATAAGGCGGTCCATGCATACCTTTGGAGGGGCACGGGCTGTCTCGTCGACATCGTTCTTTGACGTCTTCATGTCTTGTCTTTGCCAAAAGATGCGATCATCACCAAACTCCACCAGTCGTTCTGGAATCTTGATTTCCGTGCTGTCACAGTGATGAATACATTGTTTGGTGAGCTTCTTCTGATACCCACTCTCGGCCTCGGAAACAAACGGTGTCTTTGCTGCTTCATGTTGTGCACTCCCCGAACAAGAGTCGTTGCGGAGATGGCACACGCTTCCCACGATGGGATCTGAACCGGACACGGACGATATCAGGGCCTCTGCATCTTTCTCCGTTAGATCGTCATCACTAGGGTTCTCTGCCGTTGCAAGCGCGAGTTGCTCGAAAGGACTAGCCTTGTACGCGATGCTCTCGCTCGCTTCGGTGGCATCGGCATCCATGTAGGCTTGAAGCCCATTCCCGTCGTTGGAAGCAAGCGAATGAGGCGAGGCTACCGGTACATCATGGGCTGTGCACAATACCGGTACGGTGCAGGCAGGGCTGAGACAACAGGATGGCACACGATACACGGGAAACCACGGGATACCACATACCTGACGAGTCCAGACTAGCATCGGACGATTCGATAGAAATGACGCCACTGAACAAATCGTAGTATGCGTAGGGGTGATCGTCGTACACATGAGGACCAAGCTCCACCACATGCTGCGCAATCGGCACGTTGAAGTCGTCCAACTGCAAGAGTTGCAAATCCTTCGCATCCACCGTACATTCAATTTGTAGTGCTTGTTCTGCGTCATTCTCTGGCCGGACCAAAATCTCCAGCCCAGAAACCGCTAGCTCCAGAGAACCATCACAAGTCAAGGACGTGACACTGGTGAGGTCTTCCTCCTCTTCGTCGTCATCCCAGTCTGTGAAATTGGAACTCGAATCCCAATCACTATCGGAATCCTCGTAGCTGTCATCCATGTGGGAGTTCTCATCTCCCGGCCCACCAGAGCAGCCACGACAAGCAAAATCGCTTCTGAAGGGAGGGAAATCGGCCCCGCCTCCACCACCGCCAGCACTTCCGTTTGGTCCTCCTCCGAGATGAGGCTTGCGGTCATGGCCATCTCCATTCGGGCCTTGGTTGGTGCTCCTCTGCGACGCAGAAGCTCGAGATGTCCTAGCACGGTAGTTCTCGTCGTACCATTCCACCATTCGGTTTCCCAAACGGTTCAAGATATCAACGAGAAGGCTGTTGTGAGTCTCCTGGCGATGCCTGTTATAGTCTTCATCCATTTGGTTTGTCATTGGGACTGGGTTTTGCTTGAGAAAGGTGTCATACTCCTTCACATCTTCTTCAAACTTATCCACAAGACACCGCTTGACCACTCGCTCTGCCCAATCCTTGCTCTCGTTGATCCACGCCTCACACACATTCATGGCGTGTCCCTGCAGCCCCTCCAGTCCTTGGAGAGCAAATTTGGGTTGCACCGCCACGGAAAGAGACGGAACTGGCATTGGAGGTGCGGATCTTTCTGGCTCCTCCTCCAATACAACCACCTGATCAGGCTTGGCTCGCTTCCTCCTGGATTCTGTGGATCTGCCACCGTTGTTCTTGATTTCATCGCGCAAACAATTGTTGTTCGCCTGAACAACGGCTACCTCCTTGCCTTTCTTGCCTTGTGGAGCTTTGATGTACCTGATATCTTCTCGCGCGTTTGCGATTGTCCATTCCTCGAACTTGCCTTCGTGTTGGGCCTTGTCCACACTCACCCAAAAGCTGGTTTTCTTGACCGCGCCGCTGTTTCGACAGGCATAATAGGCATCTTGGAGGGCTTTGATAGACTCAATCACATCGTCCTTCAGCTCGTTCCTGCCGCAGACAAACCTAACCTTTTCTTTAAATATCTTTGTGGCTTCGGTGGGTTTGGAATGCGCTTTGAGGACGACATGGTGATCTTCCAAGTAGACTTTGGGTTCGCCACTGGATGCCATGGATGCATCGCTGTTATCCCCAAGGATCAACCCCAACCCGAAGAGGTCATCGGTATCCATGCCAAGCGGATCAACCGTGGTTTCTTGCTGGGGTTGTTGCTCAATCAAGTCCGTCATGGTGGCTTTTGGGAGAAGATGGTGGCAAAGTAGCCAAACGTTGCCTTGTCACCCGTAGCCACAAACCATCGTTGCCCCGTGTCGTGAATCCAAACCAACCAACCAGGCCAAGATGTGTCGTGAATTTGCCGAAGGGCAAACGGTTCGGACAAGCATCAGCTGAAAAGGCGCAGTCACGGATTCTTTGGGCATGAATTTGCCCAACGGGCAAACGGTTCGGACAAGCTTGAAGTACGTACTTCGTACGAAATGTGGGTGCAGGAAAGAACAAGAGGAAGTGTGTCCGAGTGCGAATTCTTCAGACTTGCCATCAATCTTTTGTAAAGATTTTGGACTTCTTGATTTTTCAGCCGTGGATATTTCTTTTTGCTTTTGGTACCACTTCAGAACTTGTACCAAAAGGGTTTAAAGCTGCCAAATGAATACCGGTGAAAATTGGCTCCTTCTATCACCTCGGTCCACCTTTCGATGAAGCGATTGTGCACTGAAATCGAGAGGGCAAGTGTCCAGTTGCTCTCTGTACAGCTACAAGCAGAGTGCACAACGCCGAGAAGCAGAGTGCACAACATGTCATTCGCATGGTTGAAGGTTGACGCTTTCACAACTTACGAAGCCGTTGTGGCCATCGAGTGGTACTAGTACACAGTTCTAGTTCTGGCTCTAGCATACTGTACCGTGTGGGGTGAGTAAAATCTTCAGTTTAGTGCACAATACACGCATATGGCCGGCAGTTTGCTGCATCAAAAGTTTTCCCACTGGTATAAGCCAATGCTCTGTGCTGTCTTCTGTCTTCTCCTCCTTACAGCCGCATTGCATATCAAAGAAACAGCCACCCAGGCCCGCGAACTGGGGAACACGACGATGCGCAATAGTAACAGCTCCAAGCAGACCTGGATGAGTGCAGGCAAAGGAACGTTAATGTCCAACGACTCCAGACTCTAGTGTCCAGGGAGGTACCGCTTGTGTACCGAGGCATTGGCACCAGAACTCCAAGTGAGACCGTACCGATCTGCCAAACGTGGGCTCAGCGTCTCATTGCATCGGAGCAGGATTGGAGTACTCGAGGAAAAATTTGAGCTGGATCTTTATCATAGTGAAGCTGGCTTTGTTCGCCTTTCAATTTTTCAGCTTATGGCGAAAGCTCACAATTTCATTCGCTTGGCTCCAGCCAACCGCAACCAAAGTCAACTGCAATCTTCTCTTTTCGATCACGTTCTTTGATCCACCCACCATGCCATCCTCTTCTCGCAAGAACCTGGTGATCAAAAAGACCACCAAGAACAGGCAAATGATCAAGAAAGGCTTGGATCTCAGCCGCTGCATTGGTTTGAAGCCCGGCGATCTCGATTGCGTCTTGGGCCGTGGTGGAGAATCCAACCACCACGTGGGAACCAAGCACTTCCGAGCCTTGGTCGACTCCAGAAAGCAAGACTTTGCCAAGGCCATCACCAACCGGGAAAAGGCCGATGTTGTCTGGGGCTGCATTGCTTCGCACAAGGCGAATGGTGGAAGAATTGTGGGCAAATGGGAAGGTTCCTACTACGAGGCCACAGCTGACAAGCAGTACAACAAGGTCATTCAACGCCTGAGGGAGCGTAAAAAGCACCCCAACGCAATTACCAAGGAGCAGTGCCAACCACCACCAAGTACCATATGCGTTCCAGTGGTTGACATGAGTGCTATCCTCAGCAACGAGACACTCGCAGGATGGCTGGACTCTTTTGAAAAGCCGTTCTTCCCGGTTGTGGAGGACGAATTTAGCTTCCTGGACGGTCGCGAGGCGGTTGACACAGGGGGGAGTTCAGGGACTGACCTCGACCTTACCCTTGCTGACCTTTCTCTTGCTGAGCCTGCAGCCCCTTCTGTTCTGGACGCTTTTCAGGCAGAGTTTGAGTACCCGATGGAGTAGGTCGCTTCCTTTGCTTGGGGCCCGCCGCCCCGAGCTCTCGTCGCCACGGCAGGTGGCTCGTTGCGGTCTTGTTGGCTGGACCGTTTCTGTTTGTTTGGCTGTTCTAGTTGTATCTGCAAGAGAAGTAATTCATATTTAGACAATACATTTTGTATAGCACGAGAACAGGCGGCCCTGGGATAGCTAGCCTAGCAAGTGCCCTCAACTGGCTGGGTTAGTTCTGATTGAATCATTCAGCTTAGGCAACCCGTCAACTAATAAACGTAGATGGAGAATCCACTTTGATTGAATCAAATCATTATTCGATTTGATTTTGCCTTTGAACGCGTCGTTCATGCATGGTTTCTAAAGGCCAAGGTGGCAAGGGTTCAGATTTTAATAACCATTGAAATCGGAAGGGAAAACTGCAGCACGAAGGCCGCAACGTACCGGTATGATGATCTTTTGTCACCTTAAAATAAAATCTTACTGGAGAAACAGACGCCCGCCACACACTGGCTAGTTCTCAAGCTGAATCATGAATGACATGATCGTCATCAGTTCAATTGTTTCTGGAATACGGTACCTTTGCTTGCATTCCTAGCTTGTGGCCACTGCACGACAGATGGCTCGTTATGGTCCTGCTGGCTGGACTGCTTCTGTTTGGCTGTTCTAGCTAGCAGCTAGCTAGTAGTATCTACAAGGAAGTAATTCATATTTAAATACATTTTGTATAGCATATAATCATGGAATGACATAATCGTCATCATTTTCGATTGTTTCCGTAACACCTTTTGCATGCATGCATCCAAAGAGCGCAGCGTAGCTCCGAAGGGACTGACTCTTGACTGCGACGATATGGAACTGGCCACGACCAGAAAGACTACGATTGAGCAAACACGAAAGGATAGGCAGACTTAGCCCGTAGCATAGAATGCCGATGGATCTTGCTCCTCTTTGCTTGGAAGATTCATTCCACCTGATAGAACCGTCGGTTGAGGCGGGGCGCCCGTAACGGGAGCTTGAGGTCCGGTTGGGAGGCCAAACGCACCGGGTGGAAGAGGCTCGGGTGACTTCTTGAGAAGGGTGATGAGTAATCGCTTCTTTCGACAGTCGCCCTGAAAGGTTGTGGAATCGGTGGAATGATCCAAAAGCGTAATCTTGAGGCCGAGGCCGGGAATTGTGGAAGAAACATTGATGGATGCGGCCTCGGTATCCGGTGCGGCTGTAGAGTTTGTGAGCAAGTCGCTCAGTCGGTCAAAGGCATACGAGAGCTGATCGTGTGCCGTCAGATTAAAGACCGAGAGAGTCTTGAGGTATTCCTTTTCGTGCTGAATCATGGCACAAAACAACTGGTTGCAGTCCACCAGGGTGCCTCCCAAGGTTGCAATGCCCTGCAAGAAAGAGGAGCCATTTGTTAGATAATGAAATCGTCGTTGCTAGCTTTCCGAGTACCGTAGGCACTAGCTAGTTATAACATTACATTAACTTACCATGGCAATGGCACAATGATCAAATGCAGCTCGATAATGCGATTCGTTCATGACCTCGTCTGGAAAGGCTGCGCTACCAGGATCTTGGCAGTGCCCGCCAACAAGCGCGGGCATCCCATTCCTTGACGTCACAAGTTGGAGAGCTTGTGCTGTCTGAGAACCCTGGTTTCCTTGGCCCATGTTTGCTAGTTGCTGTCGAAGGTGCTGGACTTCCCTGAAACGTGATAAGAGAGATAAGAGTGGGATTGTTAGCTAATGATGGATGCGATGGCAGAAGCGAACCCCTCGGGGCAATACATCGTAGCAACCCTTCCAAAGCATGCCAAATGGATGGCTGTGTCTGTTGTCCATGGCGACTTACGTTTCAACTTTCTTCCGGTTTTCTTCGAGCACTCGAATGTAATCCCTCACCAAGCAAAGCACTGATCCTTTGGTTCCTTTGGGAACCACGATCCCTGCCTTGAGAAGGAGATCCCGTAGCTCCGCGAACTGCTCTGATAACCGGTTGCTCCTTGCCTGCTCCCTTGCGTTTCGTTCTACTCGCTTGGCTTCTGTGAGGTTTCGCTTCCTTCGTTTGGAATTCTTGCCGCCCCCCGCAGCACTATCGGAGGATCCCATGGAGTTGCGTTTCTGGGTGGTGCTGATGGTTGTCGGAAACACGAGTCCACCACCAGGCGGTGCGTATCGATCGATCCTCGCATACCCCGGAGAGGCGCCGGCTACTGCGAGCATCATGGACCTACCATCGGCGGACGTCCCTGCATCTGATGATGGCTTGGGCGATACATCATTGCTTCTGTCCATGAGGTTGAACCACACTTCTCCGAGACTTCTGGCATCCGATCCCTCGGAGCCACCACTCTCGGATGATGATTCGTGATCGTTGCTGCTACCTCGACTTGTGGATGCCATGGCAGGATAGATAGAAAGATAGATAGATAGATAGATAGTGGTAGACTACCGTACTGTGTTTAATTGAATGATTGATGATGAGATGGGTTGGGTTGAACTAAAGTGATGATGGTGATGTGGCTCAGATGATGTGTGCAAGGTCAAGCTGGGGCTCCAAACTCAAAACAACAACAATATTGCCAATCCCTACAGGCTTCCGCCGCACGGTTCAGGCGATGAGAGATGGATGCAAGGGGGCAATCAACGTGCGTTAAAAGTTGTCAGTGCTTCGGAAATCCAACACTGACTGGTTTCTACGCTGTCCCTGTCATGAGAACGAGGCAATAGGTAGCAATCACACGACATCCAAGAAAGAGAATCTTAAGAAAGATATGGAGTTTCGATTGTTATTGAACATTAGAGGTGCAAGTAAAACAAATTTGGGGTATCCTAGAAGGGGGTGAGGCCAAAGAAATCTTATAAAACAGTGGGTACTTCCAAGCTACCCTGTTACCCCATGTTTTAGACTACATGCCTTATTTTTGCGAAAACCCGCGCAATAGAATTTAAATGACGCATTGAAGTTTGTACTGAGGCCCTTAGTAGGTGGCAGCTCGACACCACAACAAAATAGACAAAATGAGATGATGTGGGTATTCAGAGCGGTTACGTCAGAGGATGACGCACGACGTGGGTTCGAACTGTCAGAACTGCCCGACCCGAAGTGACGTACAACGAGCTCCACACTCCATTACTCTCCACTTCAACTTGCACCGGCCAAGCTGGCAATAGGCAGTCGAACGGACATTACTTTTGCACAAGCAGCGCATTGGGTGCACAAGACTTAGGGAGTACAAGCTTGCCGAGCTTTAGGGTTTTCGACATAAATCTCTTAAGAAAAGCTGCTTTCTTTGAGGTCTGTCCGGCACTGCAATTCAATGGATAAGAGCAATAGTGATGTCAATAGGGAACAGATTAGGACACTTTTGGAAACACGCTTTCAAAACTGTCGATGGATGTCTGTCTGTCTTCCACACATTCATGGCCCAGCGTTGTGTGAAAAGTCGTTCCCAGCGGGAGTGAAAAGGTCGTCTCACCCACAACTCTCCAATTGGTGCGCAAGCTAGCAAGCACAAGCTGTGCCAATAGCTATAGACCACCGTAACAATGCTGTCCACTTGAAGTGAGGTTTTGATTATGGATTGCTAAAGCTGACTTTGAAACTTCCTTTTTTGCTACAAGTATGGATCGAGTTCATCATACCGGTACGTTCCATGGCTCCCTTGCTTCCCTATGGAAGCCGCATGGAAAACCGCACCACCGACCTATTGCTCCTATCATAGCTAGCTAGTACTAGTCTAGACTACTTGAGCAACTTGTAGAAGCGGAAAAAGTCATTCTCGTCTGGCAAAATTTCAATCTCACGAAACCCGGCTTGCTGGGCGTACATGCGCAAGATACTGGGACGCATCACGGTTCCGGTTGCAACGGAATTGGGTCGACTCTTTCCATCCGGCAAGCAACACATGCAAGAGAATCCGTACATGACTTGTTCGACCGGGTCATGGTCTTTATTGGCCTGAGCAAAGTCTTCTGCCACACGTTCGTCCATGACAATGACAGTGCCATCCGTGCCTGCCATTTCGCGCATGGTTTTAAGCACGGAAATGGGATCGTTCATGTCATGGACGCATTCCAATGCCATGACAAGATCGTAGTGTGTATTCAAGTCCTGGACGACCGTAGATGCATCGACGCAATGTGCCTTGACTCGTTCCTCTAGTCCCTCGAGTGCAATATTCTTGTTGGCTTGTTCAATGGAGGGGGCATCCACATCATATGCATCGACACGGGCGGCCGGAAAATGATGGGCCACTCCAATGGAGCTCCAGGCGTATCCCGCCCCAATATCGGCCACCTTGCCACCCGTGGTTTGCAATCGTTCCACCGTGGCAGAATCCATGGAGTCTTGCAAAATTTTTGCGAGCCCGTTGAGGAAAAAGGGACGATTCTGTGCTGCTTGTTGTTCACGGGCATCATTGGTCATGTCCTCCCAACTCAGTCCAGTATCGTTTTTGTACGCATCGACCAACTTGTCCATATCCTTGCCCCATCCGGCTTGAATAACTGCCAATGGCATGAGGTAATCCAATGCCAAGACATCCGTCAACACTCCGGCATGAGCAGGGGGCAACCGAAATTGACGAGCGTCTGGATTGCTTTCCGAAGGATTGTCGCACACGATCCAACGTCCAATGGTTTGTTGTTCTAACCATTCTCTGGCATAGCGTGGCGACGAATCAGTGGCTTTGGCCAATTCAACGGGAGTCAGGGCCTTTTCCGCATCATTCAGTGCCTGATACCAGCCAAGTGTGTAGCCCAGATAGGCCGTCTGCACCATCTGGGCTCCCAAGACAGCTTGAAAGACCTTATCAGCAAACGCCTCGCGGTCCTTTTCGACAGTGTTGTTGTTGGTGGTGGTTTCCGTAGTCATTGCTGTTTCTTCCTTCTTTTCTTCAAAAGTGGCCATTACAAACAAACAAAAAGAGAGGTATGGAGGCTGTAGCTGTAGGCTTGGCGTTTTCTTGACTGCTTTGCCTTTGTTTTTGCTTCTTGGATTATTGTGAGATCTTCAGCATAATATGATGGCCTCTGTACTGGTGCCGGTGGCTGAGATAATGGCTGGGAAAGATCCAAGATCTTGCCGTAACTTGGGTTCACAAGGCTCGGATCTTTTCCTCTGGCGTCTCAAGATACCTTTTGATTGTCCGGACGGTTGAATTTTAGTTTTCATACCCAACTGCGCGTCATTCGCAATCTTCTGTCCGAACACAAGCGGTGGAGCTTTTCTTACCTCTTGGCACCACGAGCTGTAGCTTGCAGCAAGGTACGGTACAGTCAATGAGGAGAAATCAGCATCGGACAAGACCACCTCCAAGCAACCCAATCAGCTGGCGAGCACTGAGGGCACGATCAATATGATGGACCTAGCTAGTTAGTAGGGGCCAGCTAGATAGAGGCTTTCGAACTAGCTACATGTATTGGAACAAAGGCTGCATACATCAGCCCAGCACCTGGTTAGCTTGGCGCTGGCTACATGAAAGAGAAAATATGATAATATTATATTTATTTGGGGCCTTATCGTTCAACCTGGTGTCGATGACCATTTGACACGGTCACAAAGACTCGTACTGACAACGACCTCTACCTCCGCCACCGGTAGCCACCTACCCTCTGAAAAATCAACCATGTCGTCCGCCTTGCAGTCTAGTCAACGCCACAGTTGGACGTACCTGGTAGATTGGATCGACAAAAATGTGCTTTGGTCGATCAAGAAACTTTTTGTTTTGTTGGAGGCCGGAAACCCTCTTCCACGTTACGCTTCCACGTTTGACGATCCAAAAGGGAGATTGGGGAATACTTGTTGGGGTAATTTGTGCTGCCGACCACCGACAACCATCAGCGCCAAGATCCAGAACATTCGAGGATTGCAAGATAGGAAGGCGTGAAAGGGTAGATGACTTGGTGGCATGAAGCAGTAGTATCAATGATGAAAGATTCTTCTCTGCTTCTCAAGCTCTTCGTGTTGGTGTCGGTTTTGTTGGTGGGATCTTCCTCCTTCGTTCTAAAGTCCAAACCAACCAAGCGGAAACTCCTTCATGGCAATACTCGGTTTGCCTCCATCCAGGCCACCAAGGATAATGCTAGTATCCAACAGAATTCGAGTCTGAAGAAACGCCGAGGAAAGCAACATCCCAAAGCCCTGGAAAGCTGCATCCATGTCAGTCTGGAGGAACAAGGCCGTCCCGTCATCTTGCTGATTGATGCCAACAATGTCCGCGGCAAGACGGATTTTGAATGGACCCATCGAGACATGTTCCATTACCTCCGTGCATGGAAGAAGCAGCTGCAACAACACCACCAATCTTTGGTCCATGTCATTGGCGTCATGGATCACGCTTGTCACGCCGAGGCCATCCACCATCATGACATGTCGGTGGTGTTTGCCGGGCCACAGCAAACGGCCGATGATGTCATTGCACAAGCGACTCGGTGGTTCCTCATGGACAATCAGCTGAATGAATCCACTACTACTGACTCGGTCTCGAAAAAAGGAAACAACAACAACAATGCCACAATCAACAACTGCAATGTGTTTGTCGTGACGTCGGATGGCGAATTGAAACAGAGATGTTTGCGCTGCAATCGACCCGGAAACTGGAAACGAAAGCAACCACAACGGGATCGGGTCAAGGTATTTGGGAGCTTACCTTTTGTACGGACAGTGCTGGAATCAACAACAGCAACAGCAGATGACGATCAACCTCTAGCAGCGGGTCCATTGGACAAGATTGAGGCCTTGGAAGAAGATGTACGTCGCTTTCGATATTCTAGGAATCGACAAGCACAGGTATCAGATGCCCAAGAAGAAGAACGAGGACCTTGGGTAACCAATATTCTACATTCTGCAACAGCAACACCGTCAACATGGTCGTTGCCAACCCGTACATTTGAGGAAAAGACGTGGCATCGAGTGCTGATTGCCGAACAGTTACGGCGAGCTTTGACAGCAATACAACCACCAAACACAATTGTACAGACCAACTGTATGGCCAGCATTGTGCAAGATTATTTGAATTGGTACAACAATGAATCGTACAACGCAGACGACGACGACGACGACGACGACGCTAAGGAGGGATCTAGCATGTTTTTGGACCATCGCATACGGTACGAACCACATCTCCAACAAGAGCTCCTCTACTATCTCGATCAAGCGGTCCATTCCGTCACCAACACGTCCGTCGTCCTTTGCAACGACAACGACAATACACAAGATACTACTCCCTACTCTTGGATGTTGTCACCCATCGAATCCAGTGCTGCATTTTTGCGACGACTCGTTCAGGAATCTCCCCACAGCACACAAGCCGAATTGCTATCGCGGTACAAAAAGGAAGCACCGTCTCATCTTCAATTCACGCGGCAGGCCGATTTACAGGCACTCCTCCTCTTGGTGGCCACCCGAAGAAACGACGATACCAAAGAGTGGAAATTGCTGCAGAATGAGGATCAAGATTGGAGTGGTGTACCAGAACCACGGCGAGGAAGACGGGCTCAAAGGCGAGTGTCTAGGACGAGACGAAAAAGCAGGGTTGTCGATGACGCTCTCGTCGAGCTGGGTCGAGTGGCCGAAGCCAGATGGTTGGATCTTTACGAGCGAGAAGAGTAGCTACTCCGACTGGCTATACTATCGGCAACTTTGGGTTTGGTGAAAACCGTGGGCAATGCACAAACGAACTATGCTCACTTTTCTTAGACAGCAGCGCAAAACTGCTTGCTATGAACCCCACCATTGAATATCGTGCACTACTATCTGATTAGTTGTTCATTAGGAACTCAAATAGCTGCTCGTCCATCACATCTGGATTCCAAACGTCATCATTTCCCAAAGAAGGAGCTCGTGCTCTGTCGGCAGCAATCGCCGTTTCACCCGCTCCTTGGGGATTGTTGGCTGCTGGAGCAGATCTACTGGCATCATGCCGTTCTTCGTTGCCTTCGCCTGCTCTCGGCAGGTGCTCTGGACGAAGAGGTGGAGCTTGAGGTACCTGATGATGGTGTTGGTGATGGACTCCTCCCCCTTCGGTTGTGTGTGTTTCGCTGGAATACTGATTGGCGGCTGAGTATTGGTCGCCATACACCGCCGCACCCCCTTCCTTGAATCGCGCCGTCGTCTCTGTTGGAGCTGGATTGGGTACAATGTGCTTGTACTTGTTCAGCTCTTGCTGCTTCAGTTCCCTCATTTTGTTCTGGAACACCATTTGATTCTGCATCTCTTGTTTCATTCTGCTGCTGGCTTCAATCTTGTTCATGGTGGGCATGATGGGCCCCGCCCCTGTTACCGCTGTATTGGCCCCACCAGTATTGCCAGACGACCAATCCCTCGTGATTGCTGACATGACCGCTGGAGCTGCCATGGGATTAGGAACGATGGTGGCGGGGGCAGTCGGGACGTTAGTTCCGTTGAACGAGTTGTAGAAAGCAGAGACGGGTCCAGGAGCAGCTCCTAAACTTGCAGTGGTTGGTGCTATTCCTGGTACAGTACAAGATGCCCGAGAGTTTCTCTGCATCAACAACTCCTTTTTCAGAGAGAAGAAGAGACCCAAAAGATGCCCCATCGACGCCCCAACAGGTGAGGTCTTTTCGGCCTCGGCCAACTTGGGCACCATCAAACCTTCTTGGCCCGGTGGAGGAGGACCCATACGAGGAGGAGGAGGCGCGGCAGCTGCCGGGGGCATTTGTGCCTCCTGGCTCGTGCCATCTTGGTTAGCGGGAGAGGCGGAATCACTGTTGGTAACGGCGGTACGACTTGGGCGCACTGGTGCTTCCCCATTGGAGAGAGACTTGGCGGCATCCTTATCTGCGCTCTTGCACTCTTGGAGTGTCGTTTCATAAGATGACAGGAACTCTTGCTTTGATTTGGTTCGGTGTACTCGATATTTCTGTAGGTGAGATTTGATCCGGTTGGATGTCATTTGTGGATGCTTTGGCACATGTTCTAGTATGGTTGAGGGGCTGGAATGCTTCAAGCCAACATCAAAGACCGCCGATACAAAGTCTCTATGTAGATCTTCTGGCCATGCGAAGCGCTTGGACCACCGCCCATCTGTCTCTTTGGCTTTCTTGCGACCCCTCGGTTTGGATGTTCCTTTGCAATCCTGATCAGATTGCTGGCTGCTGATACTGGTTCTCTTTCTCCTAAGAGACGACTGAGATAGGGAAGTTGAGTTAGATTCCTCAGTCTTGATTGCTTCCAGATATGTCTCTGATTCCGCCCTTTTATCGTCGTAGGGGGCAGGAATGTAGGGGAGGGATGTTGGGACATGCCCGCCGAAATGATTCACAGTTCCTTGCTCATATAGTTGACGATATTGTTCTTCTGATGTGATGTACGAATAATTGACATGCTGTGTTGGAGTTTGTGGTGCCTCCTGAGGTTCTTTATAGTAGACTGGATCTTTATGGATAGGAGGTTGTTGCTGCTGAAGTTGCTCATGGTGGGATGGAGGTTGTGGGGGCTGTTTCTGTGGATGATGCTGTCCCTGAGCCTGTGGATTTACATTGGTGAGACTCTCGTAGACTCTCATCAAGTCTGGCACAACACTGTGAACAGGGCCACTTTGAGATGGTTGCATGGGGTTGAAGGGAGGAGGAGGAGGGTGATTCTGTTCTGGGCTCTTGTGATCAGAATCTGGAGGTGGCTCTTTGCTCGTGGCTGAACTGGGGAGCCTTCGCAACAGGACTTCGTTCCCTACTACTTGCATCTCTTGACGTCCATCAGTTTTCGAGTTGGATTCTCCCAAAGCATTGCTCGTAGGAGATTTGTTATCATCGCGATGCATCTTTGTCCTCTCCTTCTTCGGCCGAATCTCTACAAGGCTGTGATGAATCCGGGAAGGTTGCCACATTCGATTATCATTCGCAAGCTCGCAAAGCTGTTCCGGTTGTTTCACTAGAACCTTACACCGGGTGAACACGTGAGGAACCCCAATCTTGTCTCCCAACGTACTCTTCACAGCTCCCAGCACATTCAGTAGTTGGAGCTTGTCTCTCTCTCTCTCGAACTCTCTCTGGTCCACAGCAGAGTCCCTTCTTGGCAATATATATCTACTGTGTTGCCGACCTCTTTTCCCGCCCGGTATCTGGCGAGCTAGCTAGTGTGGGCCCCTCAAAGGTGGAGCCGTTGCTCCGTCGCTGACATCTTTCACGCACCAACATCAGGGCAACAAGGCACAAGGTGTGACTACTCGAGCTACCAGTGGCTGGCTGGCTAGCCAATTAAAAATCGAGATGTTGAAGCTACACTGCTCCCTTTGCAATTGCAACCCAATGATAAGGGTTCTACTTCTTTGGGACGGCATGTACGTGGAGAATCTATCAAAGGCCAGCTAACCAGCAAAGCAGAACGAAAGATTTCCGCATTGCAGAACGAAAGATTTCCGCATTTTCGGTAGGAAAGCCTTTCCGAGCCTCTCCAGTGGGCTTGTCTCTTGGGCTTCCCTGTCTACTCCGATCCGCTTCTGCTGCTGCACAGTACGTACATGTACCTCTCATAGGAGGAGGAGCGGGTGACCCTTCCGCTTTGCTGACACCACCTGTCACCAACTTGAACGAGGCATGCATAAATTAAAAGAAGCGCATACTAGCTAGCTAGTGGCTGTGGCCGTGTTTGCAAGAAGCACAGTCCCAGTCCCACCTGTTAGTACCGTACCGCCCCCTCGAGAAAGCTGTTGAGAAGGGTTCAACTCTGGCTTGAACTCTCTACATGCTCCTCACTTCAGTTAGTCTAGTTGGACTTTGCTTAGCCATTGATTCCCTGCCTCACACTCCACTTGATTTCCTCTCCTCTATCCCGACGTGTCACCAAGATTTATTTGTCCTGCAATTGCAGGAGCAGCTAGAAGACTCGTCACTCGACCCTCGACTCGACTCTCGACTCGACTCTCACTCGACTCGACTCGACTCTCGACTCTCGACTCCCACTCGACTCGAACATTCATTCGTGCATACTGGGATTTTCATGCCGGATGTTGTGCGGAATTGCCGAGTGGCCAGAGTATGATATCAATGCCGACCCTACTCTCGTTCAAGGCAACCAAAACAGATCACAAACTTTGTAGAGCGGCGCTTCCTTCGGGGTCGAGTGAGAGTCGAGTCCATGCCTTGTCACAAGCAGCTAGCAGCAAGCAACGACCAAAAGTCGAGGTTCCTTCACACTTGTCCGACCAGGATGATGCGAGCACATCATCGACTATTAGAACTTAAGGGGGGAATGGCCTTCACAGCTTTGCTAACTCCGAACCAGGAACGCACAATCTCGGCGCTCTACGAAAACGATACTGTTGGTTATACAAGTAGCCTCCGTGCTCTCGCTGACCAAGAAGTGACCACGATAGTCCATGGCAGGGAGTTATCAAGTCCCAGTCGGAGGCCAGTACTTTCTTGAGGTTATTGCCGTCTTTGTGATGACTTTTTTTACGATTTGAAGAAGCTAGTCAATCCACCGATAGTGTCGTTTGATAAAACCACTGGAAGAAGAAGGGATGCAATGGATCCACAGGGCAGCAGCGATTGGGTCTCCAGCCCCACATCTCCAACGGCCAATCTACTGGGTTACGACTTCAGTAAAGTATGCATGGAAGACAAATTCAACCACCGGCTGACAGCTAAGGATGCCTCCATCTGGGTAGACCAGGCCCTGGCACCGGTCCACACGGAAGCCTTCCGCATGGAAAGTGCTAAGAATGGGCATGCTTGGAGAGGTTTCTGGTGGAACAAGAGTTGGAGAAGCACTAGAAGCCTTTCGCCCGTTTTCACGAGGTTCCAACTGGACCACTGTACAAAGCATGTTTTCGAAATGCATGGAGGAATAGTGCCAGAAGATTGCATTGCGCCTACAAGTCTGGATCGATTTCGAGACTATGAATTCCATTGGTTGCCCTCCAACACAACAGTCACATCTCCGACAGAAGACACGGAGTTCGATGATCGTGAAGTGGACGTCTCCATGCTGCAACAGACGGAACCTACTGTGATTTGCTTGGTTGGTCGTAGTCACTCTGCACACTTCAAAGCCACCGCTGACCGCATGGGCATTACTGCCGCCGCAACCAATGTGACCTTTGAGTATGTGGATTCTGGATACCCAGCAGAAGCTACTCCCAGGGCAGTCACACGCCAGAGCATGAAAAATGGCTTCAAATGTAACAAGTTGATAATTGCGGTGGGGCAGTGGCCAGCGAGCTTTATGGGAGGGAAACCAATGCTTCTGAATGAGTACTACATTCAGTCAAAGAGATGCTGAGAAATCTGAGAGAAGATGGCAGGACAAAAAGACATGGAGGTGTACATGAGATCAATCCACTACAACTCCATGGGATATAAGCACTCTGCTTGTCCACCCATCGATTGGCGTAGCCCTCCCATTATCGATGCTTACAATTTTGTTATAAAGAAGGTCTGTCAGGATATGGGCATCCCTTTCTTGGACACGACAGTGCGCCTGATTGGAGTCACTTGTCGGGTGCAGTATCAAAGGCGGAATTGTTGTACTTGGCAGCAGCAGCCTTGCGAATTGACGACAACAATAGGAATGGCACAATCTGGAAGCATGACTCAAAGTGGAAGAAAAACCAGCTTTTAAGTTGAGGTACTTGCGGTAATTTATTGTTTTTACAAAAAAAATGCAGAGAAAACCTTATTTTTAACCCTATATTTACCGTAACTACCCTTCTAAGCTTGTGTTCCTGTGTGGAAGCCACGAAGCCACCAACCTGAAAGTCCAACGCAAATAAGTTACCTTTCCCCAACACCGGTACAGTCGTAGCGGTACGTAGTGAAGTGAACCTCGAAGGAGCATGATTGTATGTCTAGCAAAAAGTTTCTGAGGAAGATCAAGATAATATCATTGTCCAAAAGTTGTTGCGACTCTTCTCTAGTTTTGGACACGATGCAAAGAATGATACACACCAGTTACGGTGGATTGTCTGTGTATAATATATTATGCAGACTAGATAGATCTAAATACAATATTATTTAAAAAGGCTACTACATGTAGTATCATTCATACTTTTTCTGGCAATGGCCACTGATACAACTCCGCCGTTCCGTTCGTTCTGGACAAGGATCTTTGGTCCACGATTTCATAATTTCCACAAAATGGTCTCGATTGGCCACTTGGACACCGGGTTCGGTCAAGAAATTGGTTTGCATCCATTCGATTGTATGATGGGCATGCTTTAAAATGCGTTGACGGACTTTTAGGAACTTGGTGTCGTCGCAAATATCGATAATTTCCGGAAACGCCCGTTCTCCGACAAAGTGGTTCTTGTTTTCCGGATTGGCCAGCGACCGCAAGGGTTTTTTCAGCTCTAAAAAGTCTTGAATGGATTGGAGAAACAGGTGATTTCGCGTTTCATTTTTATCCTTCATTTGATCCATTGCCATGAGATGAATGACTGGTTGTCGCTTTTGTTGTTTGTTTTGTTTTTGTTGTTTGTTAAAGTCACGCAATACGGTCGTTTTATAATTGGCCAAGTGTTCTTCGAATCGAGTAATAAAAAAGAGTCCCTTCCAAGAATTGGAGCCCGCCGACAATGCCGGATCCAAGAATTGGAACATTCGAAAGGAGGGTATCAAGAAGCCTGGTATATTCCATTTGTAAGACCAAATGACCCAATAATTGTAGAGACTTTCAATGGTAAACACGGGATGCCGCAGCGTCAAGAGGAATTTGGCATTGGGAGAGTGTTGATGCAGTCGTTGCACGGCATTGCGATTGAAGCCAATGAGGGGACATTTCATGGCCATTTTAGGTTTTTTCGATGTCAATGCGCGTTCTTGCAAGGCGGCAAAATTGCGATTCAATCCCCACTTGCCCAGAAAGGAAGGTCCCAAGACAAAGCACATTTCGTAGTCGGGGTGTTCCACTTCCGGATGGTCATTGAACGCATACAGCAACGTGCTCGTGCCGCTCTTCATGTTGCCCGACGTGACAAAGTCAATCGTCGTCTTGACGTTGGCCGAATGGGGAATGGGGCGGGGAGCGCTCATGTTCCACAGGATACCCACCACGAACAACACGCCAGCTACCCCATATTGTTTTCGTGGCGTTCGTTTTCGCAGCATCTTGGGCTTGTTGTTGTTCATGCTAATAGTAGTATTCTGGGTGATACCATTACCATTGGTGGGAGAATGGGCAGGACTGGAGGGTTTCCGTTGTTTGGCCGTGTGCAAAGTGTCTCCTCCCAGTGGAATATCCATGGTCAACTGATAATAGGTATGATAGAATAGAACTAGACTAGCTAGCAAAGCACTGAATAGTAGAGCCGTGTTCGATAAAGAGTAATTGTGCGAAAGGTGCGGTCTCCGCAGAATGGAATCGAATCGAATCATCTTGAATCTCGCCGGTTCCATGTTCGCTACCATTCATATGCCCCCTGGGTCGTCTCCGTTTCCAGTACTAGTTTAACTTGTCTACTAATACAGGATAATGGTGAATAGAATCGAATGAATCATGTGGCTTATATTTAGGGTTTAGGTTTTGCAATTTTGAAGTCAACGTGTGTTAAGTGGAGGGTTGGCTCGCTTCCGCTGGGAGCTTGGTGTCTTCTTTTTCCTCTGTTTCCCGCTCTTCGTCGGAACTGGGGTATTCGGTAATAGGATCGTGAGGAAGTTCGGCAGCTTTCTTCATACCTTGTGGAGTGTCATCATTCTGACTATTCGCAGGTGATACTTTGGCCGACGTGGTTCGTGGAACAGGTGGGACGGGAGATGACGTATTTGGTTGCATTGGAACTGGGAATGATTTGCGAATAATATTGGGAGGTCCAGTATTGAGGATTTGAAAGTGAGGGCACGGGGGATTTATACGGGAAGCTACTGTAGGAGACTTACCACCGTTCTCCTGTTGGTGCTTTTCCAGAAGAGTTCCCAAGAAGGTCTCAAAGTTCATGCCGGGGGGTAGTGCAAAACCATGGGGAAGGGCCAGTGTGGCAGCTTGAAGGCGAACTGGTGGAGTAGAGGTGGGGGCGGGGGATGGTGTGCGTGCGTAGTGGCTTGTAATAATGTTGCGACGGGCACCAGTGATGGCCCGCATGCGACCGAAGTCCGATGCATCCAAGGTTGTTTCGGTGAAATCAACGGACGTAAGACGTGAAGCCGGGAGTTGACCACGAGGCCAAATAGAGTACACATGGCCCTTGTCGTCCTTGAGGAATTCGGATACAGTGCGGTATAAGAGGTCCTTTCAACTCCTGTGAGTTCCACGCTGTAATTCCCAGCAACCTCAAGGAAGACGAAGAATACCCCTTCCCCGGAATGTTCCTCAAGTTACAGGCTTGGTTGAAAAGAAAGCTACCGGGTGTATGTACAACCGACGCAAAGACCACTCCGTCAACGGCGTTAACCCAAAGACATGATGGCTTTGTTCAAGCCCTCGCTGACAGCACATGATCGAGTGGGTATCAAATTGGTGGACCCCGCTTCTGCTGATGGGGAAAAGCTCCTTATGTACGAGGCCACCAACGGTACTTCTTATGACCAAAGAGGCTTTGTTATCATGTGCCCCAGAGGTGAAGTTGACGAACAAACTGGTGAACGTTTCTTACCCCAGCTCCCAACCCCAGAAATGGCCTTGAAGTGGTTCAATGAAACCTTTAAACCGGCCTACATGCAATACGTGTACGACCCGGCAAAGAAGGATGAACCCTACCTAGTTCTCGACAAACAGGACAAGTGGTACAAGTCCATGACACCTGGAGTGAGCTGCTCACCCACTCCGACATCATGACTCACCTTGTAACGGATTCTTGGATCGATCAAGGCGA